ACCTGCTCTCACCCCCGCTGCCAGGTCCTTCCCCCCACCCGCTCTCACCACTGCGTTCCGCTCCACTCTGGCTCGTATCTGGTCAACTTTGCCTTCTATCACTCGGGGGAATATAGAAGAATCTGCTCCTTTGCAAAACAGATAAATGTCTCCTACAAAATGAGAAAAACAAACAGTTTAATCCCAATATGAGGAAGACTAGATTGTTTTTTAAATTATGCTATTAATAAAAGACACAAAAAAAGGGACAGCAGTGCAAAAAACTTTTTAAAGATTTTAATGGACTAGTTAGCATGTTCCAGTCAGGAAAAAATGAAAACTACAGATTACCTCCAAAGCCTCATTTTATTACTACAACCCTAGAAATCTCGCAGGAAAGTCAGGAACCAGGAAAAGAACTTGGCTCCGGGACTCTGCTTTTTCCCTGGGAAAGACACGAAAGGATAAAACACTCTCGGGATGGGGGTTGGGTGACCCAAGGGGGTCACTGTTTCTGAAATGCTGGAAGGTGAACACAAATCCCCTTCAGAAAGCCGTGTGTCCTCACGCGAAACAAGGCAGCTGGGCCACCCCTGGTACTTGGAAGAGTCACGGGAAACGCTGTTTGCCTCATTTTTTCCCATGTCTCCAGTAAGGTCGCCGTTGCTGTGGGCGTACTGGACACACTTGTGCTGTGAATGCAGCGTCTCCAGGCCTCAGATAAAGCGAGTTTCTGTTCCAGGCACCCAGGAACGCAGCAAAGGCCACGACAGTTCTGCAGTGATTCAACCTGCCCCCGCCCCTCACAGAGCCCCCAACACACACACAGAGCCCTCTATCCACCCCCCCGACACACACACAGAGCCCTCTATCCACCCCCCCGACACACACACAGAGCCCCTGACACATACACAGAACCCTCTACCTGCCCCCCCGACACAGAACCCTCTACACCCCAAGTCTCTGACATATACACACACAGAGCCCTCTACACACACACACACACACACAGAGCCCCGACATACACACAGAGCCCCCGACACACACACAGAGCCCTATACCCACCCACCCACCCACACACACACACACACAGAGCCCCTGACACAGAGCCCCCGACACATACACAGAACCCTCTACCTCCTCCCCAAACACAGAACCCTCTACACCCCCACACACAGAGTCTCCGACATACACACACACAAAGCCCTCTACACACACACACACACACAGCCCCTGACATACACACAGAGCCCCCGACACACACATAGAACCCTCTACCCACACCCACCCACCCCCACACACACATAATCCTGTACCCACACACACACAGACCCCCCGACACACACACATACAGAGCCCCTGAAACACACGCACACACACACACAGAGCCCCCAACACACGCACATACACACGCAGAGCCCCCAACACACACACACACACAGAGCCCCCTCTGCACCTGAAGTGTCACCTGGCCTGTGGAGCCACGTGGCACTCTGCCAGGTGGGCTGCTTGTGCCTGGGCTCAGGGAAACGCCCCGGTACTCCATCACGGTGACTGTAGGGCGGGAGAAGCTCCCTGGCAGCCTGAGCAGCACGGTTAGGAAGCTTCATGCCCAGCTCCTAGTGGGAAGAACCCTAAGACCCCAGACACTGACGATCCTTGGGAAGTCTATCGGGGACCAAATCCAGGGGGCCCCAGGGTGGGCAGGCCGTGGTCCCCAGGGTGGGTAGCGGGAGGGACGTAGGAGGGGATGCTCCTGTGCTGACGACCCAGATCCAAGGCCTGGAGCTTGAACGAGGACTCAGGAGTAGGATCAGGGGCCCACCTTGCCTTCCTTCCCAGATCCCAGGAGCACTAACTCCTGAGACACCAACAGGGGAGCAGTGGGAACATGGCTACCCCAACACTCGTGTGGCCGAGGTGCCTGCCAACCTGCAGCCAGAGAGGATGGCACCTGGTGACGCCGTGTGGCCAACACACAGAGCAAGCCAGCGCCAAGCAAAGGCGGGAGGGCATGGGAAAGGGGGGAGGCTGAGGCTGGAGGGCCTGGGAGAGGGGGGAGGCTGAGGCTGGGGGGCGTGTGAGAGAGGGGAGGCTGAGGCTGGAGGGCGTGGGGGAGGGGGAGGCTGAGGCTGGAGGGTGTGTGAGAGAGGGGAGGCTGAGGTTGGAGGGCATGGGAGAGAGGGGAGGCTGAGGCTGGAGGGGACGGAGAGTGAGCAGGTGGGGGATGGTGGGGACAGGAGAGGGAGCAGGCTGACGCTGGGAGTTGGACCTCTGCAGAACCCCCACAGGTGTGACCACAGAGTCTCAGTTGTTCAGCACAGAAACGCAAGGCCTGGGGGTGAAACCACCCAGGCGACGTCAGAACCCTTTCCCGACTCCCGCGGCTTCCAGCCAGTGCTGTCTTGTCATCAGATGCAGTTTAAAGCAAGAGCTGCGGTCCAGACGACATAATAGATGCATTCTTGAACCACACATTTTTTACTAGAAAACTCATGTTTCACGGCTCACAACTCATGCTAACAGCGTGTGAATGGCTTAACTTTCCCACTGTCTCAGCTCGTGAATTCTGCTATAAGACACAGGACACGTGCAGCCTGAAGACGTGGTCAGGAACAGCCCGGGAATAAAGATACCCAGAGGACAGGGCATCAGAAGGCCATGTTGGCACCTGCTCTTCCAGTTTCACAACTAAGCACGTGGTTCCTAACGCAGAGCTATGCGCACGCTGGTGCCGTGACGGAACACACAGGGTCCGGTTCCCAAGGCGGGTGGCTGTGTCCCAGGTGCAGCTGTGGTTGGTGGCCTGTCCCCTCCAGGACCAAGAAGGGCTTAGTGCCGTCTGGAGAAGGGAAAGGGCTACAGAACCGGTTTGAGCTCATGGCGGGAGGTCTCTCGCTGTGGCTCACGCACAAGCTCAAGGACACTGAAGGCCAGGCATTACAGCAAATGGCCCAAAACGGCTGGAAAACAGGGCATCGAGGAAGCAGCTCCAGGAGGAGCTCCAGGAGGGTGCACAGTTGAGACTCTCCTTCTTCTGTTTCGTCCTTTCTGCTTGCTTTTCTTTTGTATAGATGAATAATGCTTTGTACCCTCTCTTTCTTCTTTCCAAGTCGGCCTTCCATACACTGTGTACATCTTACCTTGGGTGCAGTGGGCATTGCAGGATGCCCCGAAAAGGAAGACTTCATGTCCCCCTTCGAATGGGAATGCCTGATGCCGCTGAGTGGCCTGTGACTTCCCAAGTCCTTTCTGAAAATTCCGTGGTAGAGAACCACAGGAAAGCACAGGATTGAGATATAGACATCTGAAAGGGGGTCCTGCTGAAGTCATAGGGGGCCCCTACTGGGGCTGCCGGGCCCCACGATGGTGATTTATGGCTCCAGTGGCCACAAGCCCCACAGGGCTGAGCCCAGGAGGAAACGCAAGGGGTGAGCTGTGAGCTGTGAGATGTGAGCTGTGAGGTGTGAGCTGTGAGGTGTGAGGTG